AATACATTTCTTACCAGTACAGAGGCTGGGGTGTAAACCTAAAGATCAGGATACTGTCAAGATGTTCCTGAAAAAAAAAGTAAAACACCAAAGGTGACCTCTACGAACCGCACCTCTTTGTAGACTTGCGCTATTTTTGCAAAAAAAAATCAGGCCAGCTGAGCTATTGTTATTGACAAGTGATGCTGAGATTTCTGACAGACGTTAAGACTACATTTAGCTAGAGTCTAATCATTTTCTTGTCACAAAGTTTAAACAACAGGCAATACTTTTTACGGGAATAGGAGGAAACCAGCACTTGCCATCTGATGATAGCAGATTCCTAAATACAAGCCAAGAAATTCATATAATAGTTTTTACTCACTAATCATGAAATGTACTCTTGGCTGCAGTGAGTTAACATTTTCCTGTTGTGATTGTCAGTGGTGTAAAACGAAATTAAAAAAGCCTTGTCAAGGCAGCAAGGCGTAGCATTTAGGATGATGAATTTGTAATTCGGAGGTCCATTGTTCAAATCCTTCTCCCTGCTGCTAGCTGGCTTTGTGTTGGGTGGTTCCGAATCAACTTCGTGACATCTTGTAAATAAAACTGGTCAGCCACCAATTGGCTGGGACTGACTTTCAACAAGTGCTTGGTTCTATTTACATTTTTTTTCTTCATTTACAGTGTCCTCACTAATTATTATCACAGAAGAACAAAATACCATGGACACTTAATTAAGAGCGATTGATTGATTGATTGATTGATTGATTGATTGACTGATTGCTTGCCTGATTGATTGATTGATTGATTGATTGACTGAATCAAACAATAGTCAAGACTTTTCTTACCACTCTTCTTCTTCAAAACGTTGCAGCATGATTTGCACTTTCTTGTACGAAACCCTAAAGGAGTCTCCACATATTGAGCTAGATTTCTATACAGGTGCAGGATAACATGTTTTATAAGCAAATTAACTTAAGATAATTAAATGATTACCGGTTCAAGGCTTAATACTGATGTAGCACAACCACCAAAAAGAACAACTTCTCCAGGTGAAGAGGAACTACAAGCTGTATGCCACATACGACTCACTGGTGAACTGACAAGAAAAAAGTCACAAATTAATGTTAACCTCGAAATGGGGTTTTGAACATTATATTTGCCAAATGAATATGATGTAAGTGCATGTAATTGATGTGTAAATGGCAAAAGTTTCCAAATTACAGGTACCAGTTTTATTAATTGGACAACTTCCTGACACCCACACGTTTGCATGCCAATTACATGCGGACAAACAGGTGCATGAACACCCAATCAGAACATTATAAGTGGAGTTTAATTGTGATACAATTCATCATCATCCTCTATCCTATTGGTGCCCATAGTTGGCACACTGTTTATCAGCAATTCCTCGCCACTTGGTCCAGTGGACAGCCACTTGGAAGGGCCTCCTGCCAAATCTTCCATCACAGCTAAATAGCTGACTAGTTGATAATCTTTGAGTACCATTATCACTTACTAATGAAGAGTCATTTGCTTGCATTACCCTTGAATTGAAGGAACACTCAATTGAAACCAGATCATTGTTAAAGTGTCCAGAACATAAGCGTCACCTGACAAAAGGGAGCATAGTCATTGTTAACATACAGTAACTACAACAGTTCCACCTACATTGTAATCATTTGGCAATACATACAATATTCCTGTAGGCTACTGAATACAGTAAACTTAAATTTAGCTTGACACTGAGGCCTAGAGGACATAAACAGACAAAAAATTATCAACATTGCTCATTCAATTTCCTTGTTTGCATGTTGCTATATGAAGGCACAATTTCACTTGTGATCCAAGCCTTTCCAAGTTGACCAAGTGCTTGGTAGCCTGCATGTAGACATTAAATATATAGAATACAGTAGAAACACAAGACGTCTGGACAAAGGCTAGCACTTGGAGATTGGTGTCTACTGTACTTAATTAGCACACAAACAGGTTCATTTCCAAGTGGAATGACAAAAAAATATGTCTTGAATCATGTTCTACAAAATACTTAGAAACTGGTCATTTCATGTTGTGCTCAGTTTGCAGAGGACAGGAGGAAAAATGTACATGTATAAAGATACATTACTGTTCTGTTCAACATTTGAGTCGCCACTGTTGTCATGGTTTGCATAAGGATCAGTGAAATGTTTTAAATATACATTTTTGGGACAAAATAAGAGTGAGCAGATGTGCAAACTCCTGCACTGAAAACATGGGCCATTGCAGAGAGGTGGACATTACCAGGGGTTTCACTGTCAATAATTATTCAGTTTTTCTTGCAGCATTTTATTCAAGGTATCAAAACAACTCTATTTCAGTTTCACACAAGAGACTTCTATTCAGCTGTTTAATTTGACTGTAAAAGATTTTAAATATCACCTAATGCTTCTTCCACATTGTTGAAACCTCCATAAAGAAACAAATGTTTGTCACTAGCAGCAGAGAGAGAATGCCATGTTCTTCCTTCAGGAACATTGCCTGTTGTTGGAATACTAGAATTCAAAACATCATTCTTTTGTAATTACAACATAATTAAAAAAAGACATTAAGTCTTCCTGTAATTTGTAAACAAGAAGTCTGTTTCGTTTTGGGGTATGGGATGACAATACTCCAAAATATTTTAAGTGAGGTAAGTGTTATATGCACCCACCCCCCACCACCACCACCATTGCTCCCAATGCTGGAAGCAGGAAGTGCTCCCTTACAGCAACCCCACCTCTGCCAACTACCCCCATCCCCCACTACCACCACCATTGCTCCCAATGCAGGAAGCAGGAAGTGTTCCCTTACAGCAACCCCACCTTT